GCGTGTCTCTCTCTCTCTCATCATCATCACAGTGGCTTGGACAGATGTTAACTACCTCGCCTGGTATACAGGGGGTCGTGGGTTCGATCCCGACCCTGACACCTGATGTATATTTGGAGTTTGCGTGTCTCTCTCTCTCTCTCATCATCACGGTGGCTAGGACAGATGTTAACTACCTCGCCTGGTATACAGGGGGTCGTGGGTTCGATCCCGACCCTGACACCTGATGTATATTTGGAGTTTGCGTGTCTCTCTCTCTCTCTCATCATCACGGTGGCTAGGACATATGTTAACTACCTCGCCTGGTATACAGGAGGTCGTGAGTTCGCCTTGACGTATGGAGCGGTCAGCGCGCTGCACTACAAACCTGGCGACCCGGGTTCGATTCCCGCTCACGGGCAAACACCAGTGACGATTATCTAAACCGGTCCTGGGCCTCCCCTAGGTCGACTCAGCCTCAAATGAGTACCTGGTGCAGTGTGTAAACATCGCCGCTAGGGAGACAAAGGCGGTCGGGCGTGGTGCTGGCCACCCACCCCCTGGTGTACCGTTCCGGCCTTCATAGGTGCTCGCTAACAGCACTTGCCCCTACAGTCTGTTCAGGCTATATGGGGGATCTTTGTATTGTGGGGAGCGGTAGTGCAGCGACTCACGCTGCACTACGAACCCGGCGCCGAATAGGACGGGTTGCACTGATTTCTTTTTTTTAACACGACGGCTTTCGCCACCAAACTTATTCACGAACGAGTGTTTTTTTTGGACCTGTTCGGTTAGATTGCGCGCAAATGTGTCGTACACCCCCACCTCCACCCGACACAGCCAATCGGTAGGCTTCGTCGCGCGAACGGAACGTGCCCAGTGTGTTACTCCGTCTGACACGGTGACGTCGAATCGCCCCGCCCACCACCCCACCCCGCCCAGCCCCCCCCCCGCCCCACCTAGCCCCCCCGCCCCACAAGCGCGGGGCCCGGGGCGGCCGCCCGGATTCGCCGTGCCCCTGTGGACCTCGGGATCATTCGTTGACTCACGGGTGACGATGGCAGCCAGCGGACTTAGAACTCAGCCGAGAAGACACGGCGCTCCACCGCGCGCGGAGATGGAGCCATCAAATCGGTCCCATCTGCAGGAACGAGATGCGTTTGCTGCGGCGTCACGAGAGCACGAGTGGTGGGGAGGGGGGCTTGGAGTAGACCTTAATCCAGCGGTGGATAGATCATGGCCGACGATGCCGATGACCGTGATGATGACAACATGGATTGGGCGGTGATGGTTGACATCGTGTGACACGCTGGTCAGTGAAGGTTCGCTGTGTGAATTCGCTCGGCGGGAGGTGCAGTTCAGTTTGGGTTCGTGGGTGCCACGGTGGCTAGGAGATGTTAACTACCTCGCCTGGTGTACAGGAGGTCGTGGGGGTTCGATCCCAACCCTGACGCCTTTTGTGTATTTGAAGTTTGCGTGTCTTTCTCTCTCTCATCATCATCATCACGGTGGCTAGGAGATATCAACTACCTCGCCTGGTCTACAGGAGGTCGTGGGTTCGATCCCAACCCTGACGCCTATTGTGTATTTGGAGTTTGCATCTCTCTCTCTCTCATCATCATCACGGTGGCTCGGAGATGTTAACTACCTCGCCTGGTATACAGGAGGTCGTGGGGGTTCGATCCCAACCCTGACGCCTGTTGTGTATTTGAAGTTTGCGTGTCTCTCTTTCTCTCATCATCATCATCACGGTGGCTAGGAGATGTTAACTACCTCGCCTGGTCTACAGGAGGTCGTGGGTTCGATCCCAACCCTGACGCCTATTGTGTATTTGGAGTTTGCGTCTTTCTCTCATCATCATCATCACAGTGGCTCGGAGATGTTAACTACCTCGCCTGGTATACAGGCGGTCGTGGGTTCGATGACAATGCCCACTGCTGTATATTCGAAGTTTGCGTGTCTCTCTCTCTCCCTGTTTGTCGCGTGGATTTTTCTCCTGGTCTTCCGCTCTTTCCGTCCACATTGACGAGCAACGCACATTACATTGCCACGTGATGATGACGATCAGCCGCTTCGCCGAGCTCTACCATTCGTGATGGCCAGGTCCGCTTCTTGATAAGTATAACCCATAAAAACAAAGTTTTTCACTCTAAATCCTTTATATGCGTGGCGGCTAGAGTCCTCTCGTCCTCTGGCTTGAGATGGCTGCCACCTATGGGTCAGATGATTGTCTGCAGTATTAAACAATTTGTAATTAAATATTTAATTTGTTTTCCCTAAACAGTGTAAAATTGTCTCGCACAACGAGTCTGTGTGCAAAATGTCAGCTCGATTGGATCACGGGAAGTGGGTTAAAAAACGACCGAAATGTTTGCACGGTCGTAAGCAAGCAAGCAAGCACAGCAAGCACGCAAGCAAGCAAGCAAGCGAACTTAATATAAAGGATAAAAAAAAAAAATTTCACGAACATTAATTGTCTCGCACAACGAGTCTGTGTGCAAAATGTCAGCTTGATTGGATCACGGGAAGTGGGTTAAAAAACGACCGAAAGGTTTGCACGGTCGTAAGCAAGCAAGCAAGCACGCAAGCACGCAAGCAAGCAAGCAAGCGAACTTAATATAAAGGATTTAAAAAAAAAATTCACGAACATTAATTGTCTCGCACAACGAGTCTGTGTGCAAAATGTCAGCTTGATTGGATCACGGGAAGTGGGTTAAAAAACGACCGAAAGGTTTGCACGGTCGTAAGTAAGCAAGCAAGCACGCAAGCACGCAAGCAAGCGAACTTAATATAAAGGATTTAATAAAAAAATAGTTATCTAGCCCAGCGGGGCCCCCACCTGGTAAAATAAAACGATTACACAGTTAACACCAGTGGAACCTCATTTGCCAGTAACAAAATATGATAATTGGTTTTTTACCCTTTATCTGGCAACAAAATTGACACCGTTTTTTACGAGGAGTCATGTTTGCATAGACCACAATATCTGCAGTCATAATGCAAACAAAAAACATAACTCTGATAATGTATGCACTGTCCTTGAAGTTGATTGGTCCACACCTGAGACAGGCGTCATCTGGTCCAACACCATGTGAGACTAGGCTCTAAGGAAAGCTGTCTCGGGTGTGGACCAATCAACTTCAAGGATAGTGCACATTATCAGAGTTATGTTTTTTGTTTGCATTGGGAGTGGGGCCGCAGGGGGGCTAACAGAGGCGGGGGGGGGGGGCGATAGGGTTAGCCGGCACACGCGATGATTCAGGTGATGAGAGAAGGATTAACAAAATGCTCATCGGTACACCCCAGCGGCTATCGAGTGTGCAGGCGGTGCAATTGCGACCGGGGCCCTACGGACCACGGGGGTGAGGGGGGGCGGAACTCACCCAGGGTCCGTGCTTGGAGAACAGGAGACATTGAACAGATGGGGGGGGGGGGGGGGGGGGGGGGGGGCTCCCCTCCAATTCCATTCCTTGCACCAGGATTCGTGCCAACCGCGCTACCGTGCCACTGGTGTCACTTCGTAGCATGGTTGGCCACTGGTGCGGCCTCGTAGTAGTTTGTTGTCCTCCGATTAGCACGGTTGGCTACGTACGGTGCGAACGAAGTTCAACGTACATGCAAAGGTGGTGTAAAAAACGACGAAGAAATACACGTCTTTAAGAGCGAAACAGAATCCCAGCATGCTCTGCATGTAAAGCTGCCGTACCATCACTCCGTCTCCGTGGTGAATATTCTCTGTGCCGCGTTCACAATTTTCACATGCCACTCTGTATCGTAAGAAAGTGGGTGGATATATTAATAGGTGAGTAGGTGGGTGGGTGGGTGAGTGAGTGAGTAATTCGTTGCGTGGGTAGATGGGGAAAGTTCGTAGCTGGCTGAGTGGGTAGGTGGATAAACATGTCAGGTGGACGGGTGGGTGAGAGAGTCAGTGGTTTGTGGATGAGAGAGTGAGTCTGTATGTGAATGTGTAAACGAGTGTGGGAGTTCGTGTATGGGCAAGTGATTGGCGAGTAGATAGTTGAGTCGCTGGGCAGGTGAGTGGGTCGGTGTGTAGATGAGTGGGTGGCTGAGTGGTTCGTTAAGATGAATGAGTTGGTAGGTGATTGCGTAAGTCGGTGGATAGGTATGCATATGAGTGAGTATATAGGTGGGTGGGGATGTTGCTGATTTCGTGTGAGCATAGGTGTGGGGGAGCGGTGGCGCAGTGGTTAGCGCGCTGCGAACATAGCAAACACCTTAGTTCGTCTCCCGCTCACGTAACACCAAGTTGAGCGAGAAGGTAGCTGAGTGCCTGGGTAGCTGAGTCAGAGAATAGTTGAGTGGATGTGAAGTTGAATGGCTGGGTAGCTGAGTTAGTGAGTCGTTGAGATATTGCGTAATTGACTTCCTGGGTAGTTGAGTCACTGGATAGCAGAGGTGTGGACTCGAGTCATGTGACTTGGACTCGAGTCAGACTCGAGTCATGAATTTGATGACTTCAGACTCGACTTGGACTTGCATAACAATGACTTTGTCCCACCTCTGAGGTGTGAACTCGAGTCATGTGACTTGGACTCGAGTCAGACTCGAGTCATGAATTTGATGACTTCAGACTCGACTTGGACTTGCATAACAATGACTTTGTCCCACCTCTGCTGGATAGTTGAATGGCTGTGTAGTTGAGTGACGGCGTAGCTGGGTGGCTGAGTAGTTGAGTGACGATGTAGCCGATGTGGTGGTGGTGGTGGTTTCGGCGTGCGCGGTATAAAAACACTCGCAGGGCTGCCGTGGGTGGGGTCACAGCCACCAGCGCGGAGTGTCGCTCACGGCCTCCCCCCCCCTCCCCTCCCTCCCACGCCGCCGCCGCCTCCACCAAACCCCTCCACACACCCCGCCCCGCCAGCTTCAAAAGCGCCGCTTCCAGCTCCAGCAGCCCCCCCCCCTCTCTCTCCAACGTCCTCCAGAACGCGCTCGCTCGAGAGAGAGAACGAGAGACGAGGAGGAGGTGGTAGGTGGAGGAGGAGGTAGTGGTGGAGGTTTCCCAGGCGCGGCACTCTTCGCACAGCGCCGGGCTCCAACTTTTCATTTGCAACCACGAGGCCGAGGGACTGCGGTTGAGAGCCCCAGCAGCAGTAGCAGCAGCGGTAGCAGCAGCAGCAGCAGTAGACAAGGCGGCTTGGCAAGCTCGGGGCGAGTGGTGTGCGCTTCTGCAAGAGCGCTTTAACAATAGGCGTGCCCGGTTGCTTTGGCCCCTGGGTTTGTGTGTGAGGAGGGCTGCTTGCTGGCTTGTGTCTTGGTACTGGCCACACGCACACACACGGACAGAGACGGAGGTACACGCGCGCATGCACGCGCGCACGCAGCCTGCAACATTCACCGACAACTCAGCCACCACCAACAGCGATATCATTATCAGCAGCGGGAGCACCACCACCATTAACAGCGGCAGCGGTGGTAATAGCAGCAGCAGCAGCAGCAACAGGTTCAGCAGCATCACCAGCAGCAGCACCACCACTATCAGCAATACACAATTACCATCATCATCAGCAATACACAATTACCATCATCATCAGCAATACACAATAACCACCATCATCAGCATCAGCAATATACAATCACCATAATCATCACCATCAGCAATATACAATTACCATAATCACCACCATCAGCAACACACAATCACCATCATCATCAGCAATACACAATTACCATCATCACCATCAACAATACACAATCACCATCATCATCACCATCAGCAATACACAATCACCATCACCATCAGCAATACACAATTACCATCATCACCATCAGCAATACACAATTACCATCATCAGCAACACACAATTACCATCATCACCATCAGCAATACACAATTACCATCATCACCATCAGCAATACACAATCACCATCATCACCATCAGCAATACACAATCACCATCATCAGCAATACACAATTACCATCATCACCATCAGCAATAAACAATCACCATCATCATCAGCGATACACAATTACCATCATCATCACCATCAGCAATACACAATCACCATCAGTATCACCATGACCAACACAAAATTACCACAAGCATCACCACAAGCATCATCGTTAGCAGCAACACAATCGCCATTGTCACCACCTACACCAACACCATCCGCAACACGATCGCCATCTGTACCATCATCATCAGCTGTAGCAGCGCCATCGCCACCACCGCCACCACCATCGTCAGCAGCTGTAGCGGCACCACCATCCAGCAGCAGCAGCAGCACACAGCCGGGCACCCAGCTGACATCTTGCGGCGGCGGCAGCAGCAGCATGGGGCGAGATTTTCGCCACTTGGACCATCTCCTCGCCCATCGGCGGGGCGCGCCACTCTGCTCCTCCTCATCATCATCACCGATGCCGCCGCTGTCTGTCACCATCCTCCTGCTGCTGCTGCTGCTCCTGCTGCTGCTGGCGCCTCAGCCGGCAGAGTCCTGCGGACCTGGTCGCTTGAACGGGGGCCGGTGGCGCCCGGCGCGCAAGCTGACGCCGCTCGCCTACAAGCAGTTCGTGCCCAACGTGGCCGAGAAGACGCTGGGCGCGAGCGGCCGCTACGAGGGGAAGATCGCGCGCGGCTCCGAGAGGTTCCGGGAGCTGACGCCCAACTACAACCCCGACATCGTGTTCAAGGACGAGGAGGGCACCGGGGCCGACCGCCTCATGACGCAGGTGAGGAGGGTGCCTTGATTGGGGGCGGGTGGAGGGAGATTAGGTGAGGATGAGGATGGATGATGATTATGATGGGGATGAGGATGTGGAGGAAGATAACGACGAGAAAGATGATGACGACGAGGATGATGATGACGACGAGAAAGATGATGACGACGAGGAAGATGACGAGGAAGATGACGAGGAAGATGACGAGGATGATGACGAGGATGATGATGATGTAGAGTAGGATGTGGAGAAAGATGATGACAAGGATGATGATGATTATGAAGAGGAGGATGATGATGACGACGAGAAAGATGATGACGACGAGGATGATGATGACGAGAAAGATGATGACGACGAGAAAGATGATGATGACGAGGATGATGATGATGACAAGGATGATGATGATGACAAGGATGATGATGACGACGAGGATGATGATGACGACGAGGATGATGATGACGACGAGGATGATGATGATGTAGAGTAGGATGTGGAGGAAGATGATGACAAGGATGATGATGATGATGATTATGAAGAGGAGGATGATGTGGATGCAGAGTAAGAGGAGGAAGTGGAGGAAGCCGATGAATATTGGGATGAGAAGAATGGGGATGAGGATGATGAGGATGATGATGGGGATGAGCAGGGGCATGTGGAGGATGATGATGATGAGGGCGAGGTTACAAGAGAGGGCGGAGGAGCGACGCTCACAGCAGCGAGCGGAGCGCCGGGTGGATGAAACGCCCGCAGGGTGAGGAAGCATGCAGGTGGTGGTGGTGTTGGTAGTGGTGGTGTTGGTGGTGTTGGTGGTGTTGGTGGTGGTGTTGGTGGTTAATCCTTTGCCAGTCATATCTGCCAAGTCAACAACCCGTGAGTTTATGGGTCTCGAGGCGAGTTTATGGGTGTATATGCGAGTCTCTGGGTCTCGATGTGAGTTTATCTCCATATATATGAAAGGCAAAGTTGTGATTATGTGTGTCTGTTCAAAATGTTTAGCGTACTTCCCGACATGCAACAAACTTGAAATTTGCCGTGTGGGTACTTTCTAGACTGTACACCACGCACAAATTATGAAAATACACTTTTTGGGGGGGGGGAGCTCAATAATGCATATATTTTCTGCACGGCAAGTTAGCGGTGACGTCAAATCTGTCATGTGACCCGCACATGTGGAAGCGTAAGGCATTGTAGTGGAGTGGTTAGCGCGCTGCGCAACGAACCCGGTGACCCGAGTTCGATTCCCGCTCACGGCCACACCGGTGACGATTATTTTAACCGGTCCTGGGCCTCCCCTAGGTAGACTCAGCCTCAAACGAGGAACTCGGGTGCTGTGTGAACATCGCCACTGGGGGGACAAAGGCGGCCGGGCGTGGTGAATTCAAGTCCCGGGCGAAGCCGGGTAGTAAAGCTAGTGGGTGTATATGCGAGTGTATGGGTCTCGATGTGAGTCTATGGGTCTCGATGATGAGTCTATGGGTCTCGATGATGAGTCTATGGGTCCCAGTCAGTACTATATATGGGTCTCTATGTGAGTCTGTGGGTGTATATATGAGTATATGGGACTCGGTGGTGAATATTTGGGTCCCAGTGTGAGTGCTGCATATGGGTCCTCTATGTAAGTCCATTGGTGTCTGTGTGAGTCTATTGGTGTCTGTTGTTCTCTGTGTGAGTCTATTGGTGTCTGTGTGAGTCTATTGGTGTCTGTGTGAGTCTATTGGTGTCTGTGTGAGTCTGTTGTTCTCTGTGTGAGTCTATTGGTGTCTGTGTGAGTCTATTGGTGTCTGTGTGAGTCTATTGTTCTCTATTTGGGGTACGCGGTGCTCTGCGAATCTATGGGTCTCTGCCTTCCTCGCATGGCCGATGATGATGTTGTTGTTGTTATCGAACAACGGCTTCAATTTCCCAAGTTTGAGAGTTGACGGCCCACTGGGTGATTGGGTTCGTGGACGCGCGCTCGCGGCTCTTGCCACCTGTCCCGGTTCGAGCCGGGACGATAAAATACAGCGCGTGCCGTGTCTGACAACGGGGGAGCGGTGGTGCAATGGTTAGCGCGCCACGACACGACATCACCTGGCGAGCCCGCTCAAGCGAGTGACGATTGTCTGACGCGCTCCTGGGCCCTCCACCTAGGTCCACTCAGCCTCAAATGTTTTGCTCAATTACCACTTGGGAAGGCTCAGGTGGCAACTGTCACCCCACCCTACCTGTTCACTAAGACAAAGATCCCCTGTGTAGCCTTAATAGACTGTTGGGGCAAGTGCTGTTAGCGAGCACCTACGAAGGTCGACACAGCACACAACAAGGGTAGGTGGCCAACACCACGCCGGCCGCCTTTGTCTCCCCAGTGTCAATGTGTACACGTCCTTTTTACACGTTGCATCAGATACTCATTTGAGGCAGAGTCCACCTAGGGGAGATCCAGTGCTGGTTAGGATAATCTTCACTAACCGCTGCAACTACCGCTCCTCACCCAACCTATTCATTCGCACACTTATTCAGCCATTCATTTGAATTCACTCACCCACTCATTCATTCATTCTGTCACTCATTCATATCCCAAGTCACTCAATCGCTCACCCACTCACTCACCCACTCATTCACCCACTCATTCACCCACTCACTCACTCACTCACCCACTTACTCACCCACTCACTCACCCACCCACTCACCCACCCACTCACTCACCCTCTCACTCACCCACTCACTCACTCACCCACTCACTCACCCACTCACTTACCCACTCACTCACCCACTCACTCACTCACCCACTCACCCACTCACTCACCCACTCGGGTTCTTCCCACGTGTCCGTGGATCGGCGTCTATTCGGGTGACACGACTTGATTTCTGTCGAGATTTGGTGGCGGTGGTGGTGGCGGTGTAGCGGTTAGCGCGCTGCGCGATTCCCGCTTACGGCCAACATCAGTGACGATTGTTTGAAACTACCGTGGGCCTCCCCTAGGTAGACTCAGCCTCAAATGAGTACCTAGTGCCGTATGTAGTAAACATCGCCACTAGGGAGACAAAGGCGATCGGGCGTGATGCTGGCAACCCATCCCCTCGTGTACCGTTCCGGCCTTCATAGGTGCTCGCGAACAGCACTTGCCCCAACGGTCTGTTCAGGCTTTCTGGGGGATCTTTGTCTTTGTTTATCTTTGGTGATATTGCGCTGACGATCTCGTCGGGCAAGCTGCAGAGTTCGAATCGACCCAGGCTGTCTGAGAACCGTCCCCCGGGTGTTGCTCTCTGGGAAAGGTGGCGACCCTAATGAACGCGACGAACGCGGCGTGCGCATCACTCTGAACGCGTAATTACGAGTCGCCGGGTCGGGTGGGCGAGTAGGTGAACCCACGTGCCGAGTCATACACACACACTCGCGTGCGGTATGAAGAAAACACGTATGTAGCAGACATCAACATGTACTGTACACGCATGTGCACATGCGTACATGCGATGAGTGGCAGTGGAGTGGTTAGCGCTACGCTGCGCTACGCTGCGCTACGAACCCGGCGACCTGAGTTCGATTCCCGCTCACGGCCAACACCCGGTGACGATTGTCTGAACCGGTCCTGGGCCTCAAATGAGTACCTGGTGCGGTGTGCAGTAAACATCGCCACTGGGGATACAAAGGCGGCCGGACGTGGTGTTGTTGGCCACCCAACCACGCTCGTGTGCCTTTTCGGCCTTGGTAGGTGCTCGCTCACAGCACTTGCCCCAACAGTCTGTTGAAGGATACACAGAGGGGGGAGGGGGGTGGATATTTGTCTTTGTTGTGTCATCGCGAACACGCAAGTGCACTTCACGATGACGCGCTGTAGAGGTCTCGACAGACGGGGGGGGGGACTTGCACATTACGCACAAACACACTCATCATAGCGCTTATTCACATAGTCAGCAACAACAACACACACAGATCCCGCGCCCCCTAGACATACAGACTGTTTGCTGTTAGCGAGAGCCGATCGAGGCACGATGAGGTCGTGCACTGTGCGTATTGTGCCCGGCCGCCTTTGTCTTCCCACTGTCTCGTGCTGGTGTACCAGTTCAGCACGTGGTAGGCTTTCGCGACCGATATCATCCATAATAGAGGTTGTTTTTTTGCGTTAGACCGCGTGAATATAATAACGTGTCGTTAAATCTGCCACCACCCGACACAGCCAATTAGTTAAAGGTTTGTCGCGTAAACAGAACGTGAGCAATTCGTTACTAGTACAGCACACCGGTGCGTTAAACGTCTCTGCAGACACGTTTGACGGAGTCCCCAGATCGCCTTAACAGGCTGCGCTTGTTAGCGAGCGCCTGTTAAGGCCCAACCCAGCGGTGATGTTTACACACCGCACCGCGAGAGTAGACATCGTGGGGGGGGGGGGGGCGATTCGATAATTATTCGGCATCGATGTTGTTGGGGCTGTAAGCGAGAATCGAACTCGGGGTCGCCGGGGTGGTTTGTAGCACCAGTGCGCTAACCACTGCGCCACCGCTCGCGGCAATGCGCGCTGGCAAATTACGTAACTCTGCACGGACGTTCGATGATCGTGACGAGTCGTCACGTGGAGTCGGAGCCTCTAAAATAAACTCTTTATTTTTGTATTGTTACAGGTAAGGCCCTGCACTGAGCTGATTGGCTCTCTTGTCAGACTCGACCTGCCACAAATGAGAGCTCAGCGAAGTTGCTTATCACGTGGACATTTATAGCAGTCGACAATTACTCTAAACGCGTGACGTTGCTTCTTAATGTGGAGAGAACAATCCACGTTACTACGCAGAGAGAGAGAGAGACACGCAAACTTCAAATATACAGCAGGCGTCAGGGTCGGGATCGAACCCACGACCTCTTGTATACCAGGCGAGGTAGTAACATCTCCGAGCCACTGTGATGATGAGAGAGAGAGAGACGCAAACTCCAAATATACAGCAGGCGTCAGGGTCGGGGTCGAACCCACGACCTCCTGTAAACCAGGCGAGGTAGGTAACATCTCCTAGCCACCGTGATGATGATGAGAGAGAGAGAC